CTCTTTTACTTGACCACGTCCACACACATGCCATCGCAGTGTACACAGATGGTCTAAGTCTACTGACGTGTCGTATTCCCGCAGCAGTGATTTTCCAGACAGCGTCCGTGCGAGGCATTTACTGTCTTTGGCTATCATTTTTTTACTGCTGAATTGTATGCCATTCTTGCAGCACTTAGCCGTATTGCATCTTGCCTGTGTCATCATTTGTGTTGTCTCAACTCCCTTAATGTGCTTTAAACATCTATACACAAAAATTTGAACAACAACCTCGCCCACGTAGTTCCTGTATCCAACTTTGGTTAACCGATATCTCCTACCAAACAAGATATTGTTTTTTGTTGGGTTCTGTCAGTTGACATACAGGCAATGAACAGGCAGACACTGCTGTGCGGTCCAGCATTACATGACCTTCCAGTTTCATATAGAGAGTCACATTCACGGATTATTTTAGCTGTTATAGCTACCCACCTTCACACCCCGCGGCACAACCGTGTCCTGCCTCTGCTCAATAACTTCGTTCTGTTAAACCGAGTATAGTTACTTACTGACTGGCCGTCTTCTTGTCATCATGTCGAGGTTGGAGACTACTCTCTCCCGCCTTTTGCATTGCCACACTCGTCTTACTCATGGATATCTCATGGAGAGGTGCCCTGCTCCACAGTGAGAATTGTCAGGTTCCAGTATCGTCCATAGCCACATCTGTTAGACTGCCCACTCTATCAACGAGCACGCAGAATTTAACCACCAACGTCGTCTTCCGCTCTGCGCTCTCTCCTTTACCTTCCTTCTTGCTGATTGTGACCCACCTTTCATCCAGACTCTCTCATTGACTTTTTGACAACAACTGACTTACTCCACAAACTCTGATGATCATACCTTTAGCACTCCCCTCAGCCCTTTCTACCTCAATCTCTTGCTACCCTCTACCCCTGCACTATCCCCTGCCCCGCTGTTTTCTGTAACCTACTAATCATCCCTCCCCCCTTCTGCTGCCCGATACCCTCGCTTCCTTCCCTGCCCTGCAGCGCTGTATAGCCCTTGTGGTTTAGCGCTTCTTTTTTATTATAATAATTTATTTACAAGTACATGTACATGGTATATAGCCCTAGCTGACATCAATTCTACTATATAGAAAGCCGCTTGTTATGCAGAGCATTTTGGGCAAATTAGGTCAGTCGACTAACTCCCAAGTACCCAATTTACTGATGGGTGAACACAGACAACCAGTGTAAAGAAACACGCCCAATGTGTCTACCCTCGTTGGGAATTGAACCCAGACCCCTCACTGCATGACGCGAGAACTTTAGCCACCAGGCCACAGGGCACCATTTAGAATGATGATAGGTGGAGTGACTCTCAAGTCAACAGAGTTCAGTTGAAGTTCTTTTTGTATTATGATTCTCAAACTGCTAACTGACAGCTCTCTCTTTGAAGGCTTTCCTAATTCAGCAGTTCTATCATTCATCTGAAGGCCAATGTGAAATGGAATCCACAGGTGCATTTTGAGTCTACTGTCCACAATCCTACCATACCTGTGTCTGGTTTCTGACACAAGTATGCCACAATTGATACTCAAGGAGTTAAGAGCATTTATGGATGATAAAAAATCAGTTACAATTAATGTGTCATCCTTTGGTACACTGGTACAATTGAGTGCAAGAGTAAGGCAAACAGTTAGGGTAGAAGTCCAGTTATTAATGTTTGCTCCATCACTCTGTATGAAAACATAGCACTACCAACTGCACATATGTAATTTGTGAATGAGTGTGCTGTGTGACTAAGGTATCCTCCTTGGCTTCAGGGTGAAGCTTTGGATGTGATTTAAGAAGTTTTGGGGGGAAAAAAAGGAGGGATAGTGGTTTGGAATGGGGTAATTTTCCATGGAGCGGGGAAGTGACGCTGTTCCCTTACTTGAATACATAGATCATATATCAGAGTCATGTGGAGATCAATACCAGTTTTTATGATCCATCTGGTGGAATACTCACCAGTTTGAATGGGCTTGCCTGACCATATTGACCTCAGTGAGGACATTTCTTTCAATGACAATCTCTGCTTTTAATATTAAGTTCTTTCTGCATGTTTACAATTTTGGCAGTACAAGGGCATCTGAGAATGATCCTCATTGCTCTGTTCTGCATTTTTTTATACACTAATTACTCAAATAGCTAAAAATGAGCTGGATATTCACTTGTATCCTTTTAAGAGCTTGATATGTAACCCAGGTTTATTTGATAGAAAAGTTGAAAAAATTAACATAAAGATCTTTGTAAATTGACCTGTGCCTTGAGCACAGCATTAATTTTTGTTAATAATCAGGCTTATTGTGTAGAGCTGATTACAATTCTTTTCATGGGGAAGTGCTGAACCTATAGGGGTCACATAGCATCTGGGGAATAGGGGGGTAATTTGGTTTGATCCAAGGAAAAGTAGGGCAGCTTCAATTCCTTGCATTGTAAGTCCTTCACTGGCATTGAGGTGCCTCCTGAAGGAGTGTAAAGCTGTTGAAAATCTTCAGCTGCTTAAGGATTTATGCAGACCATCATTCTTTAACTGGACTTTGCCATATTAAGGTTTGATGTACATCACAATTTAGCTTTGATCAACTTTGTGATATTCTTCAATGCTAATTGTTTGTTAACATTTTATGCAATCAAATTTAACCCTTTGACTGTTTCAGGCCCCCTCTCTGAAACTGTCATTCTATGTCGCCAAATATTAAAAAAAAAAAAAAAATTATTTTTTCTTATGAAAATGTTAAGATTATTTTTCTGAGTGTTTTAGTCCAAAAAAAAATTTTTGCCATCGGTACTTACCGAGATATAGAGCCGTGAAGTTTGCAGAAAATGAGCCGCGTATGGCAACAGCGGCGACTGCCGCTCACCCGGTAAACTTTAGTTTACTTGTAATTGAAGGTTTTTTGTTTTTTTCACTATTTTATTTTTTCACATAACTTATGTGGCCTATGAGACCAAAGTAAGGTGCAATGTATATATATACACTCGTTGTACACAACACAATAAGCACACAAACATAATTATCAATATATTGTTTACAAAACTTGTTTACAAAAACAAACAAACAATCATCCTCATCATCATCCTCATCATCATCATCCTCATCATCATCCTCATCCTCATCCTCATCATCCTCATCCTCCTCATCCTCATCATCCTCATCCTCCTCATCCTCATCCTCATCATCCTCATCCTCATCATCCTCCTCATCCTCATCCTCATCATCCTCATCCTCATCATCCTCCTCATCCTCATCCTCATCATCCTCATCCTCCTCATCCTCATCCTCATCATCCTCATCATCCTCATCCTCATCATCCTCATCCTCATCATCCTCATCCTCATCATCCTCATCCTCATCATCCTCATCATCCTCATCATCCTCATCATCATCATCATCATCCTCCTCCTCCTCCTTCTCCTTCTCCTTCTCCTTCTCCTTCTCCTTCTCCTTCTCCTCCTCCTCCTTGTCTTGTGTGCGAGTGTGTGGCTTATAATTGTTTTGAGTCAGAAGTCGGCAGCTGTCAAAGTGACATTGTCTCATTAGTCACTACCCCTACGGCCTGTCAAAACAATGGGGTCGGATGCTGCTTCCCCTCCTCCATTCTATCTAATTATCTTTCTCCCTCATTCTATATCTTTCAATCTGTCTCTCTTTCTATCTGTCTGCCTATCTCTGTCTCACAGGTACACATAAATACAAGTATACATAGTGTAAATTACCTAGGATAACCCAAGAAATCCAGACAAAGTGCTATACTCTGCTTGAAGATGTGAGTAAACATGATGACACAGTCTTGTGGCTCTCTCTGAGACAGAGAGCTAGATGGGACAGACAGGGAGCTTGACAGACAGACAAATAGACAGACAGAAATGTTTGTGTACCAGCAAAAACAAAGGGAGGGCGATGGTCATGTAATATTACCCTCCTTTACGCTCATCAAAGTCAGCTCTTATCAGATGTTATCTCCCCTCATCTTGTCACTGTCATGGGGTGGACTTTTTTTTTTCTTGCTTCAAGGGAACAATATTATTACATCTTCTTCTTTCCTCCTCCTCCTCCTCTTTCTCCTCCTCCTCCTCTCTCCTCTCTTCCTTCCCTCCTCCTCCTCCTCCTCCTCCTCTTCCTCTTCCTCCCCTCCTCCCCCTCCTCCTCCTCCATTGCTTTTGGTCTCAAACTCCTCCAAATCATGAAATTGATCTTCACTGACACTTCCATCTGTGTTAGAGCATCACTTGGGAAGAGAAGAGTCCCAGATTTGCTGGGGAATCACATATTTCTTACCGCTAGACATGCTGAAAAATGACAACTGAAATGGCATTCCCACAATGCACCACTGGCTCCCCGATTTTTTTTATATGGTGCACACTGACCATGGAGACCCATTCTCTCACATGTGGGCCTACCAGCTTTCTCCTGCTTGATTTGAAGCTGCTAGAATTTATGCGTATAAATACGTCAGAAACATTGGCTCGTAAGACGTATTTATACGTCGGAAACAGTCAAAGGGTTAAATCTAAGGTACAATACAGCAATGCCCTATGTCTTCAGTATTGCTCTGTGGAATAAATTTCATTACAGACTACTTAAGCTTCATAATTTTGTAAATTCTTCAGTTCTTTTAATGGATTTTATCCTTTTGATGTACATTTAATTAGTTTATCCATAAAGTGACATTCAGTCATAAAAAACTTCAACTTTCATGTAATAGGCCTATTGGTCTGATCTTAAGATTGGCTTGGGTTGGTGTGTGTACCATGCAGTCAGGTCATTCTTACATACTTAATTTTTAAACATCTCACTCAGGAGCCATATCATAATACACATTTGAAATGTGCTCCTCTGGATTCTTCTATTTCTTCTGAAGATTTGTGTGTAAATGCATGAAAACATTAGTATATTTTTTCTCTCACACACACACACATTGTATATGTATTTATAGTTTATGTACTATATACATTTTTTTTTTTTTTTTGCAGAGATGCAACTCCATTGAATCAATCATCCATCAGTCACCAGAAGGATCTCCAGAAGGCAGACATGCACCATTGGGAGTACGTCGGTCCTGGCCACGTCAGGCTACTACTGTGGAACAGAGCCCGGCTCAGCAAACTCGGCTAGCAAGATCTTTAGAAGATTCACGTGTCCATGGTGATGTTACATTAGATGTCGAGTCCTCAACTGATGATGACATATGCTCTTTTTCGTCTGATGATGATCATGTTATGTATGGAGACATAGGACTTGGAACAACAGAAATTGATGATGATGATGATGATGCTCTTGAGGACGAACTATCTGACAGTATATTTACTGTAGAAGATGAAGATGATATTGATGAAGATGCAGAATGTGGTGAAAGTGGAGAAGCTGAGCTAAATTCTCAGGATTGGGAGGTACAGTTATTAGCACGACAGTTAGCAGAGGATCAACGTGGCTTTGCTCGTAAGGTAGACAGAGACATTGCAGAAGGCCGCCTAGATTGTGCTCTTGCAGATCTCCACGAGGCTTTGGCTACAGACAATTTAGGGCCACTTACAGATGATGATCTTGCTAGATTAGAAAAAGCTGTGAGACGCGAGCGAGAGAAATTACGGAGATATGCTCGAATGTACAGTCTGGATGAAAGACCATTACTTGAAGATCAATTTTCATCCTTATATCGCAGTCGATCCCAGCTCTTATTAAGTCGTAGTTCAGCATTATGCCTCGCTGGACCTACACAACGTCGCCTTTCACTATTGCTGGAACAACTTGCAAAAATGCCCCCAGCAGAGCAGTTCCTATTAGACCGTTTGGTATATACTACAGACCGCAAACGAAGGCTCTCCCGCCAGAGATCTTTATGTGATGAGCATTTAGCCTCATATAACTCGGCTCGTGTACCTATAAGCAATAGATCTAATCGATCACTAGCTAACAGACGTTCACTGAGTGTATGTTCTCCACCCCCTGGTGCTCCTCCCGCTACTCCCCTGAGAGAGACCCAGGGACCAATAAGGGAACGTGGACCTGGGGAGAGAGTGGGCCACCAACAGTGTCAGCTATGCTAGCTTCATTACAGCGTTCAGTTGCTGCCATTCGGGGACGTGGTTCTAGCAGTAACCAAAGCTCACAGAAAGAGGGAGCTCCTCTCTTACGGCCATCTAGGTAACGCCACTGTAGCAATACCATGGTCACTTGGCCATTCCTTCAGAGTAATAACTCAAAGAAAGCAATAGCAGTATAAGCATGCTTGTCTTCTGCTACTGCTAAAAAATCATCTTGATAATGTTTTGTGATGAATACCAGTTTACTTGACTAAAAACCAAAGCAAAGCAATTTTTTTTTTTTGTGCAGAATCAGAACTTGTCATGCTAAAAGGACATTCACCATAAAACCATATTTTTCATATTTCCATTTAGCCAGCAATAGTAACCAAAAGAATGTTATTGTTGGTTATTTTTATGATAGGCTGCTTGCATGCAGCTGTACACTTAGGTAGATTATCGTTTCTGGGTAACAGGACAGATATGTTTGCGTTTACATAAATTATATTGGGGACTTAACCTGGACAAACATGGCATTGGATTTCTCTAAATTTTAGTATGGGAACATTCTGATTATACAGTATATTATATATACTGTGCAAGCATACAGTTTTATTATTTTAGTCTCATACAGACACATGCACATGTGCACACGTATGCACGCACGCACACACACACTCTTGCAATATAAAATGATATGAATATGTTTGTTGATAATGTTAAGGTCCATTGCAGGGTAAGCAACATCAAAAACTATGTAGACTATCCATGTAGGAAGACCTGGTATGACCAGAGAAAGTGGAGTGATAGATGATGGAATTTAATGTAGATAAGTGCAATGTAGAAGAAATAGGAAAAAGCATATAGAGGCCACATGAAGATTATAAACTCTGTGAATATTAAACCCATCATATGTAGAGAGAGAGAGAGAGAGAGAGATCTAAGATAATCACTATGAAAGCTTCACTGTAAATTTATATTAATGAAATCATGAGAAAATCTCCTGTGACACTGGATAGCTTTAAAATACAGCAAACTTTTGATATATAGAGGGAAATGCCAAAAAAAGATATTCACTACATAATGTCACACTAAAACTGGAATATGGAGCAATGGTATGGTCTCTGAACCTTAAAAAAAAAATTAAGATGAGCTACTAAATGTCTACCATAATGAAAACACATGAAATACAAAGAAAACACAAAGGTATTAGTCATGTCCTCATTAGCTGATAAAGAGGAAAAGAAGACATATGATAACATTAAAGAGTATAAAAAGATTGATAATATTTCAAAACACTACCAGCAAGGAGAACCAGAGGTCATTCCTGTTAACTAAAAAATAAAGTGCTACTGAATGGATCAAAGCCAGCAGAGAGAACCAGAAGCCATTCCTGTGAACTAAAGTGTAGAATGGATTCCAGGAATATATTCTTTACAGAGTTGTACATGAATGGAATGGGTTACAAGCAGTAATAAGTGCTACAACTACTGGTAACTTAAAAATTATATGTTGATACAAACACCTCGGATATAAAAATGGGTAAATTACTCGCACAAAAATGAATAAAACACTTGAACAAAATGCTACTGATTAACAAATTCCTGTAAATCAAATCTATTAAGCTATGATATTCAGTGAAATAATTAAAGAAGTGGATGGATTGCATTTGTTTAGACTTTCAAGAAAGCTTTCACTAGTCTCTTATGAGAGAGTGATCCAGAAAATGCAATCACATGATTAAATGGAAAACTATTACAATGAAGAAATTTCTTTCAAAAGGAAAACAGGAACAAAGCTGATGTAACATGTCTTTTTTGGGGTAGTCTCTCACCAGCAAGGTGCCAAAGAGGTCAGTGGATAAAATAGAAAAAAAGTCAAAGATTGAGCTAAAAAATGGCTACCAGGATAGACTAAACAAAACGAGTTAGAATGCATTAGACATTCTCTTATTAGTTAACAGTAGGAAGAGAGATAAGATTATTAAAGGATACAAAAGAATTTATAAGGAAGATTTCCTAGCACAGTCAACTGGAAAAAGAAGAGGTTGCAGCTATAAACAAACATTCTTCACAGAATTTCAGAAGAATGGATTAAATTACAATATGAGGTAATAAGTACTATAACCTCTGGAAATTAAAAGAGAATTATATGATGAATTAATTGCAGAAGACCTCTACACAATGATTTTAATTCTGCAGCTACAAATAGGCTGTTACACACAAATTTGGACAAATTAGAAAAAAAAAAGATTATGAGGAAAGGCTTGTTACATATGGATTGTTAGGAAAGGCATGTAACATAGGATTACAGTGGATTAGTATAAAGAAAGACAAGTTTAACTGATAAAAGAAAGAAAACATGGTAGCCACAAGGTAATTACAGGGGTACAGAGAATAGATAAGGAATCAGTCAGAAGTCAGTGCTAAGCTGAGAAAAGAGGAATAAGGAAAGGATTTTTTTAAGAGTCATGATAAAAAGTTGTATACGATCATACACATCTGATACTCGCAAGAAGACTAACTGTTGATGTTAAAAAGTTTCCCCTAAAATTCTAAGGAAGAAGAGGTGGACAAAGGATACAGAAAATTTTTCACAAATAGAATGGTAGAACAAGGAAATGGGATACAGGAAGCAATAGGTGATATAGCCACTGGAAGTTTAAATAATATACAAGGTTAAATATTTAAGATGGGACACCATGAGCATAGCTCTGTTCCTATACCTAAAACACTTAATTACATATATGTATATATGTACTGTACTGTCAAGTCTCATTAAGCATTACTGAAAAAGTATTTTTTTTTATGGGAAAAAGTAGTAGATGTCTGTATACAGTAATCCTTTCTGGTGCCACTAATAATTTTAATACCTTTTTCCATTTACCATCTATTTTCATGGAAAAAAACTAACCTCACAGTACAGTATGCATATATATGGACCATTAGTAAAAACTTAATCGAAGAAACAAGACCAATTGTGCCTGCCTATAAACGATTATCTATCCTACAACAGTGCCAGCCTCATCAGCTTCATAATCTTGCACTTCTCAGCTTGCATCATATTATCACAAGCTTATATTCATATACCATAATATATTATAAAGACTTGATAGTGTGAATTATAAGAGAAAGGCTCGAGCAACAAGATACCTGTAGCAATCCTATGTCTCACTTGTCAGATTTATATTGTTACTACAGGTCGAGTATAATACATCCTCACCCTCATTAGAAACTTTTTTGACAGTGTCTAAGATTCTAGTTCTTCTAGCTCATTTTACTACAAGTTGATTTTTTTTATAATCATGCACTTTTAAATGTTATAACCTACATGGTGAAATTATTCATTTAGTATATTTTTAAGTACACTATATCAAATATAGTATTTCACTTTGCTCAGACTATCAAAATCTTAGCTGTGCATATTTCTACAGACATTTTGCATTACTTTATATGAATTTGGAAGCATGAAAAAATGTATACAAAAAAAAAAAATCATGCACCTTAATTATAACAAGCTTGAGTGTATGTGTACACATTTTACATATATAAATTTCTCAAATGTACCTTTGTACTGCATACACTGAAGGCATTGGAAATACCATTAAAATTCAGAAGAAAAAGAATAAATGTAACTTCTGTACATATGCACTCATAATACAGTACTACATACGACAGTAAGGAAAGGATTTTTTTTTTTTACTTAAAATTAGAACAAGAGGTCACAATTTCAAGTTTAAAAAATGTAGATCTTCTCAAATGGGCTCTATAAGAAATCACAATGCCACAAACCACTGCAAGCTTTAAAGTGTTAAGGATCACAGAAGACAGAACAAAACAATCATAACTCTACTAATTTATGTGTAAATAGGAAATTACACACATACATGTGTAAATACAAGAAAAAATAATGGCATAATACTAATATAAATATATAAGATTAATACTAAGAGCTGAAAGCAGAATAGAATAAAATGCTAATTAAATATCTTTATTTCTACAAGTACATGCACAAGGTATACAGGCTTAGCTGACATCCATGACATACTACTACAATGGAACCTCAGATATCGAACTTAATCCGTTCCAGGAATTAGTTCTAAATTCGAAGTCTGAAAAGTGAAGCAATATTTCCCATAAGAAATAATGGAAATACAATTAATCCGTTCCAGACACCCGAAAATATTCACAAAAAAAAAAAAAAAAAAAAAATTA